GGATGATTATTTATCTTCTGATAACATTTATTAATATTTGTTTAAACTGATCGTTATTCAAGTAGCTAATTATAGAAGCAGAGTTTAACAAGAATGTGAATTATTTCGCTTTATTTCGTTTTTATAATGAAAAGAAAATATTAAAAATAGTAATTATTGAGATAGTAAAATGAATCAGAAAATTGTTAACGTTCTCTTCTTTCTTCAGGTAAATTTTACATGTTTATTTATTTTCTCCCTTCCTATTTAGAATAAGCTACTCCTAATGAAATTATACATTTTCTCTACCGCGAAGTAAAACAAGAATTCACAAGCTATTCACATTCCTCGTTTCTCAACTGAAAAAAATGTCAACAAAAAGAAATAAACGAGAATCTATCTATAATAGGTCAAGTCCTCAAATAAATAAATAAGATGGTTTTATCCTATCTCCAACTGTTTTGTTAAGTTGCTTCGACGATTCATGAGAACAGTTTAAAAACTAAAATAAACTAAATGAATTCCAGTCTACAAACAGACGAAACAGGGAAGCGAAGTCTGTCGGAATGCCTTCAGCTCTTCATAGTAAGAATAGAAACTGATTATGTCGGATAAAGCAGTTTGCTTGGATAGTATAAGTTTGTTTAGGCAATGGAATAGCAGTGTTTGTATCTTATCTAAGACTCGTAATGAGCTAACACTATAAATATATTAATCAAATATAATAAATCTTTTAATAAAGATGTTGCCAAACTGAATATTCAAAATTCGCATCTATAAATTGAACATATCTAACTAGAAGTACCTTATTATGTGGCAGAAGTGGGTTCGATTCGAACCCGGATTGACCTTTTTGAGCAACCGAATACATATCGATCGGACTATCGCTCAGATTGGTAACCGCTGTTGGATAATCCGTCGTATTTCCTCCAATCGTTAACAAGGAAGTTAACCCCCTACTGACCAAGACTTCAATAAAGTAAAGTGTAAAAGTCTGGTGCGGCATGCATCACCAACCTTTCACTTACCAATCTAATCAAATAATTAAATTTCTGATTATCCTGCTTTTCCCTCAAGAGTTGGAGGGACAAGTCTGGGTTTGGAGTTCCATCTTCTGATTGTAAATATATTAGTATGTCTGTTTTTTTTTTTAAAATCACTTATCTTTAATTTATTTTATTTTCATTTATTGTACCTATATACCTGTTGATTTTTATTTGCTTGTTATTTTGTCTCATTTTTTTTTTTTTTAAATATTTACTTTACATATAGTGTGTATGTAGTCTTATTTTACTATAATTATTGTCCATGCGACAGAATGTTATATTACTTAATAAATAAAACTTTAAAAATTCTAAATGATTAATGCTAGTTAATATTTAATTATTTAAATATATTATTGGAGCTATTAGAATTTATTGCAATATGTTTTATCAACCCTTATCTACCCGTAACACTACTTGAAATATTTTAAGCTGCACAAACCTCTCTACTAACAAAAGTACAATTAAATAATTTTTGAACAACTTCATGTTCGTACCACAAATTATTAATGGGTATCATGAATTGATTACAATATACATAATTACGAATATTAAGATATAGATGACTATATACGTGTACATGGACTTAAAGAATACTTCTAATTTTTGAGACTATGTATGTAGTCTTAAAATGAGTAGAAGACACTAATTGCCAGTTATATTTTAAGAGAATAACATATACGAATTGGTGGATGGAATATAAAACGGAAATAAACATAAATTGTGTAGTTTCTCCTCCTGGAATTTTCCGTTAAATGACGATTTGTTTATTGTATGTTTTGTTTTTTTTAATTTTCAACATCATTGTTTTGTCATAATATATACAATTTATGACATGATTTCAAATCAATAAAAAAAACAAATACCTAAAAAATTTGTATTTATGTTTTTATGAATAATATTACTCCACCGGCTTTAGCACCAGTGAGGCGGTTGAGAGAGTAGCGCAGGGATTTGGGTTCCCCGCCTGATTGTATATATTGTATACAGGTATGACTGTATTTTTATTTTTTTAATTTACTTATATTTAGGTTATTTTATTTTTTTATTGTATATATTTTTATTTATTATTATTTAGTTATTATTTTACTTTTGTTAATTTTGTTTCTTTTTTGTATATACGGTGTGAATGTGTTCATTTATCAATATAATTATTGTCCCTAAAAATATATTAAATGGAAATTTGTACTTTGAATTGATTTGAATGAAAGGTGTTTTATATATTTGAGAAAAAAACATTGTATTTCTCGAAGAATAACTATAAAACATAGGCAAAGACAGTTTTTAAAGTTTTTTTTTTTTTTTAATAGGATAAGATAAAATTCCATTGTTTGATTATCAGGAGTTTTCTCTCTTTGATATTCTAACGAAGCTTTGATGTAAATACATACTTTTCCAACACTTATAAATGAATAAAAAACGCAGATTATTCCCTAAATATCAAAACTGTTGCAAAAAACACCCACTTTGATCACTGATTTATATTTAAAGTAAATTTTAATATCAAAATCTCCGTGTTGCTATAATTATAAATGCTATAAATATAAATAACGTTTATAGAATTAAATTAAATTAATCTTTATTAGTTATATTAATAATTTTATTCGATAAATCTTTGAAAATTACCATAATAGTATTGTAATAAAAATATCATATAATTGATGTTTTAAACGAGTATATTTATATATGCTATTGATTTATTACATTTTTCCGAAATTTTTAATATATATTATATTGAACGGTTTTATGAAGTTATGTAGAACCCGGAAAATATATTTTTATTAAAAGTAGATTTTTTACACAATTAATTTTTCGAATACAGTAGCCGTGGTTAACTAATGTTCATGATAATAATAATGAAAACCGAAGAGGAAAAAAGGTTAGAAACGAGAGGATTCGGGTGGTTATGAAGAGAATTAAATTAAATCAATGTTTATTTGTTATGTAAATAATTTTAATCAATAAATATTTGAAAATTAACATAATAATGTTTTAATAAAAATATCATATAATTGATGTTTTAAACAAGTATTTTATTTATGTAACATTGTTAATATATTTATATATAGCATAATGTTTTTTCATTAGAATTGGAATGCATTCAATTATTTATAAAAACCAAATTTCATATCAGACCCATTTTCAGTATTTAGTATTCATTCGAAAATTTAGAATTAAAAGTATTTAAAATAATACATAGGGTACAATCTACATTTATTTACATATAAAAATTTGTTTTTATTTATAAAAGTTAAAAGGAAGAGGAGAAAATATATTTCTAGAACAAATGAGTTCTGCCATTTTTTTCATTCAAATACCAATATTTTTCTATACATGGCTCGAGTGAAGTTCTGTTATAAGCGTCCTCAGATAAATATCATGATCTAAATAAGCAATGAAACTTAGTGATGATGTTAGATGTATTTCAGTCCAAGACACCACCCAGCGTGTGCACAGCTAATCAAACTCACTTAGGAACTTGGCCCTATTTCGAAGGAAGTTTGATTCCTTCCTATGCGTATACATATCATTGGCTAACAGGTTGTATATATCGTTAGTTTTACAACCAATTTTAACTGAATAATATAATTAATAAACTAGTTTAAATTGAGTAAAGTAAAAAAAAAAAAAAAATTTGAAATTAATACGATTATCTGTCAACATATTGGACTGTGTTCCATCGATTTTATCAAGAAAGCTTAAAAAGTCAAGAACAGTACATTTAAAAATAACATGGATTCACTGACGGATCTACCACAGGAGGGTTCGGACTAAAATCCCCTCCAAAAAAAATTTTTTTCGTTGGTACAATGTTGTTCATGTGAGTAGTCAGAACTAAGTACTTAAACAATTACAATATTTATTCCTTTTTTAATTATAAAACATAAATATATTTTAAATGTAATAATTACAGTACCTGTAAATGTTTAATTATATATTTTTTTTAAAGAACACTTAAATATCATTTCATTTCGTTCCTTTAATTTTTTTCAGAGAAATTACCGTTATTCAAATTTTAAAAAAGTCCCCTCGCCATAATTTAATCCAGAATCTGTTACCGGCACGAACCATTCAAATTTACAATTATAATAATTATTTATATGAGTGGCATCATATGAAAGATGGATATCGGTCAATTTCAGAAAGAAGAGAAAAAATCAATTTTCGTTTAATATGTTCAACTCAAATTGTTTCTGATGATTTTAATCAAGAATCTTTAAGTTGAACAATGAAGCAAAATAATTAGAATCTGTTGAAATTGAAGCTACGTTAGAAAAATTGGCTTTTTATGGACTTTTCTAAAAATGAGAAATGTCCGTCTTTGATATGAATATAAGCCACTTATAAGAATCATTAAATAATTCACAACTTGTATTGAAAATTCAAAAACATTCTTCAACATAAAGATCAATTGAGGAAAAAAAATTAATTTATTCCGAAAATATTTTTCACAAAAAATACACTGCAATTATGCATTTACTAAAATATAATTCAATTGATTTTATATGAAACATATTTATATATCAAAAAAATTAAATATAAAAAAAAATCCAAATTATAGTCATTGTAAAAAGAAAACAAGGAATGTATTATTCTTTATTAATTATATTTTATCTAATTTTAATTTTTTATATTGTATATAATTAATTATTATATTAAGTTCTGATTTGATTATTTACTACTACAAAATAAACTTTTTTTTCATAGGAGTGGTATATTTCTTGTTACAGTTAATATAATACAAAAATAAAAAAAAACAATTTTCGAAGGCATTTAGGTTTCGTGGGCTCTGACAATAACTTACCGACTAAGAAGAAAGTTATATGCAGCAAATAGTGATACTTTTTTTTGTTTGTTTATTTTCGTCATTATTTTTTTTTTGGGGGGGGGAAGGGGGAGAGGGAGGGGAAATGAGATGAAGTAACGGTTGCTATGAGATTTTGACCTGCTATTTTGCGTTCCCTGAGCCTCCGCCAGAACTGCTCCGCCTTCCTCACAGGCCATCCTGACTCGACTTTGGCCGAGAAGCTGCGGAAGAAGCGGTACTCTTTCGGCGAGTCCCCCATCTCGGGGCCAGGACACGGCCACTACTGGAGTCTACTCCAGTCTCCCTCCGCCTCCTTCGGAAGGGCATGCGCCGCCACGCCGCTCTTCTTTTACTTCCGCTGGAGGCAGTTGTTCCGGACGCTGGTCACCGCGGCCACGATCCACGCGTAATTTTGGTAAGGTCCAAGTGGATTACCATTTTATTCCATGCCTAGCTTTTTTTTTTCAATCCCAAAATATACTATACTTCTGAAATACTGTGATAAGTATTTAAATATAAATAAATAATAATAATAACAATGTTTCCGCTGGTAGAATTAAAAAAAAAAAACATGATAGCTCTTAAAACGTTTAAACCTGATAATATCTATCCGAATTTCCGGAAAACTATGTTTTATTAATTTTTTTTTTTTAGCAGCTAAACATTATTTATTTGTATAATATTAGACGAAGTCTTAATTAAAGATAATGCTAATAGTGTTAAAAAAGTATCGACAAATAAAAGATTCTTACATCTCATTTATTCGTTAAAAATGTTACTCAGGAATAGGTGTATACACGGAGCATTTTCGAAATATAGAAAATAAGTTGTCTCAGAATAACAGTTTTAGTTTTTTTCCATGTTCCCCCTTTTAGCAAATTATTAATATCTGCCTATAACTTCATGAATCGCTTCATCCTACCGTAACCTACAAAAAAATCTCTGAAGTGGGGCGTTTTCTCATTAAAGTAATTAATTCAATGATAAACTAAAAACTAATAAATACCCATTTGCTTTCCACTTGAATCGTAAGATAATTAAATAAAAATTATATTATCCGAGGGAACTTAAACAACTATTCTCTATTGTTTTCTTTTTCAAAAGAATTTAAGTCTGTTCTAGACTACAATAAATAGGATTTTTTAAAAATAACACGAGTATTCCATGAAAACAGTATATAGAAACCAGGAGGCTCTCAGAAAAATACGATTTATAAATATGAGGTATCTGAATATTAAACAAATTTTGAAAGGAAAAAAAAAAATCTGCATAGAAAATAATTATATGTATAGATCAATTTAGTGAAGCCTTCATATATTAAAAATGCTTCCTGAGTCGGTATATTTTATCAAAACAGATGTACTTATATGAAATGTAACTTGTGAGCCGAACGTGATTCATCAGAGGTATTTGGTTATCTTCGATAACTGCGCAAGTTCTATGACACCTTCGCTATTTAGAACGCCTGTTTTAATTTAGGAAAGTCATGGTTTGATTTCATAGGATCACACCAGAGGAACAGAAAAGCTCTATGCTCGCTGGTTTACAAACACTGCCTTGTGCGCTGCTAGCGATAAACAAGAATCAACCAAACTCTACAGTAGTAAAATCCAAAATGAGAACGACACAAGCCAGCAACAAATCGTAACCGACAGGAATAAATAGCCCATCTCTGTTTTTGATAAAATTATTCTACGACCGATTTGTCTCAAACCAATATACTATTAATCCACATACTATAAATAAATAAAATATATACTTTAACTATTAATTTATTATTATGCATTGATGATCAATTATTTAATGGCAACTTTGTGATTTTTAGTTATTTGTATTCCCTTTTTAGTTTTTCAAAAAAACAGTTATGTTTAATGGTATAATATTTTTATAAATTAATTTGTTATAATTTTCTCTTGTAGCATAAATATTTTTCACTGCGAGATTCAACGTTTAATATAGAATTTATTAGTTTGCATGTGCATTGATTTTTTTTTTAATTTTCTGTTTCTTAACGAATAATTTAATCAAATAGACAATTTTTAGTAATCTGATAATATTTAATGATCAAAATTTTGAAGAAACCATATTATAGAAATGAAAATAAAATTCGTAAACTTTTAAGAAATTTTTTAATTGATCTCTTTAAAATTTTCGAAAAAGTGAAAAAATTATTTTAGTTATTTATTTTGGATCATAAATACACCTACGTTTCATGAATGACCAATTCAATTTCAAAGTTCAAAATAATTAATCAATTAATTATTAATTGTAGACCAGAACTCGTAAAACTCGTAATAGAACTGGATGGTGTAAAAGCATTCGTCCAAGAAAACATTTAAATAAAATAGTTAAAAAAAAAAAAAAAAACACTGACCTGTTAAATGTTTCTCCGACCATGATCTCATCTGCTTGCACCCCAACTGGAAAAAATTAAAACATTTAATTAAAATAAATTATAAAAATAAATAACAAGAATAAAGCTTTAACTGATTTATAAAAAAGATTGTAATTTGTGGAAAGGCATTATGTATGATCATATAGTTCAGAGGTCTGATGCATAAATGCAGTTCAGACTCTGCAAAACATTTATGGAAAAAAGTTTCATTTAAACAGTTTCCCTGGAACGTTGTAGGAAAAGCGTTCTTAAAATTAATGTTTTCTGTAATAAAGTTCCAGGTTTATGGAGAAATGTTAACTTTTATTAATCCAAGTTCTTAAAAAAAAGTTCTGTTAAATGAGAAATAAACAGTAATTGGGCTTATAATAGAGTTATAATTCGTCTTGAATGAATTACAGATGATTCTAATGTGTCGTTTGTTTGAGTAGTTATGAATAAAAGTTATTTTCTACATCGACTTCAAAGCGATTAAATCGACAGAAATTTTAAGTAAATTTTTTTTTGTAAATAAAGTTCTTTAAAAGCTTTACTTGAAAAGTTGCAAAAGAAAAAGGTCTGGATATAAAAGAACTGAAGAACTATCGGCAATAAAGGTGATACAGAAACTGCAAGTCCCAAAGTCCCAGTTCAATCCCTTATAAAATCTAACTTATAATACATAACTTAGCAACTAATTTAAATAAAAAAAGTGATACTAACTCTAAACCCACTAGTATGTTTTTTTTCGATCGATCATATTAATTCCTGGTTATCCTTTGAGGAATCTGTAAAGATGTTGGCCTTGAAACCTCACGACAGAACTGTCATTAAAGTGCCACTAATGGCTAGTTTAATTTTTTTCAATGTCTCATAAAACTAATTTCTTTTATATATTTGATAGGCAATAAATCAATATTATAACATTGCTTACTTGGGTCAACCTGGAATATGAACCAAAGCGGCAGTGTTCGATTGTTCTTCAACTAACAAAAGTTTCCGAAACACGTTTACCAATGTAGAATTGAGAATTTAAATTTTATTTCAGCTTCTTGTTAATAATTTTACAGGTTTCTCTTTCAATATCATAAGATTAAAAATTTAACTAGGAAAACTTTATAGATAAAAAAAACTTTATTCGATTCAGATGTTTATTTATTTAAAACAAAAATTATTAATGAAGGGGCAAGTTCCTAAACTCATTGATGAGCGTTAGTAATCCATTTGGCCGTCCCTAAATTCATCGGTAAGAACTTGTTCTTAATGAACTCAGGGCCGAAATCATCGATGAGCATCAGAAATCCTTGAATGGATTAGCGTTGGGCATACGAACTTTCCCAAGCCTCATAGAAATGATAAAATTACAATCAATTTGAAACAGACTACCATTATAGAATGACTGAGTTTATCTGAATTATTTTTTTTAAATACATTTTTTCATGCCTTATTGTGAACTATTTTATATGCTTCTGAATTTTACTGCTATTGAATAATATAGTTAGACTTATGTTTGTCAAAAACTATATTTTAATTTTCAAAATTTCAAACACGCGATATGTATAATATTCCATGACAACTGTGGTACCTAAAGATCTCTCGGTAAGAATTAAGATTTATTTAAAAAACGATACATTTAAGAGCCTTAAACATAGTGCCTTATACATCACTAAAACACAACATATTTTGTGTTGATCTCTGAGGTTTATAACTTCGGATTTTTGCATACGTCTACTCTTTCTTATGATTTTTTTAAAGCTGTAGTTTCAATTTAAGGTTCGAAATCGGAGTCTGTCATTTTTTCATGAAATTTTCTCTCTTCTGACACCAAGTTTGTCAAAATTTATTTTTCTTATAGAGAGCCAGAAAAGAGATATTTATTACGTTATTCTGTGTAGTGTCGATGAGACTAGAATATTTTAACTTTCACTTACCTATATATGAAATATATAGTATGTATTTAGGGACAGTATTCCGTTCGTGAAAATTTTCGAATCTGAGTTTTCAACGGAAATACATGTTTAGAGGTATCCTGAGTCCAAATAACAAAGTCCCGCAAAATGATCTCTGTGTGCGTGTGTCTGTACGTACATACAGTTGTCCTTGTGTTTGGATGTATATACTGTCACATGACAGGTCTAGTGGCACTTTATATCATCGATGAAACACAATTTTTTCTTTAGAACGGCTTCAAGATTTTTATTAAATTCAAATATATCAGTGTAAAATTAAAATAATTATATGTAGGTTTTATTCTCATTGATGTTTTCTAACAGGACTTAACCTGAGCATCTGTGGCTCTAGTGCCCTCCTTCAATCTCCACTGACTAACGAGTGAGGCGGCTGGAAGAGAGGCACTGGGATCTCCTGGAGTCCTGCTTTGCCTGTCACTTTTGGAGGACAAAGCTTGGCTCGGAGTTCCCTGGGCGAATATAAATATTGTACATAAGAGTGAATGTGTTAAGATGATTTATTTTATTTTTACTTATTGATTTATTTTTTATTTCGCTTATGTATTATTCTATTTATATATTTACTTTTTCTTAGTTTACTCATTTATTTTAATTGTTTGTTTCCCTATTATATGTATATGTGATATGAATGAACAAATTTAGCCTTGTTGCCCTTCAATGTCGCAGTTTGTACTATTTACTGTTCAAAAAAAAAAAAAAAAAAAAATAGGACTTAAATGGTTAATTTTTAATATTAGCTTCCTTTAAAGTACATTTAATTTTTTTTTATTTGAAAAATTAACTACTTCACATTTATTTCTAATATAAAAAGTGGTTAAATAAAAAATATGAAATAATTTGATTATTAACTAATGGAGGAATAAGAGATAGTAACAGAGAATAGTTGTAATGTAGGGGACCAAAGAGATCTCAGTGCGCACCCGAGCTTGCCCGAAGATTAGACGAGGCTTCCGTAGTAACATGAGCTTAATGTAATACTGACTCCGACAATATTATGTGGATATACCTTACATACGGTTTTAATAAATGGTATTATTTAATATTAGATTCTATAAATTACAGCGATATAAATATTAAAATTTGTATATATAAGAGTGCTTAAACAAATAAAAATATCCCCAATGAAATATAAATCAATATAGCGTTTATAATTTTTACTATCCCTTCCCCTTTTTCTGAAAATACTTATCTATGTTTAAGAGTCTAAGAGAGTGGTGAGTGAAAGTTGTGTACCAGATTTTTTATATTTATGAGTGACTTGAGTGTATGGAGGAGCTGAAAAAAAAAAAACAAAACAATAATACATGTTCTAACAGGTTTGAGAAATGCAGACTATTCCAAAAGAGAGAGATTAGCGTGATGTCCTCGATGAGAAGAAAGATCAACGAAGCAGACATGTGTTATGGTAAATCAACATGAATCATAGTATTTACATATTAGAATATTTGGCAATCTAATATTGATTTTTTTTTCAAATATAAGTTTGTCGATAGTACCAGATCGTTTCTCTAACACAATGACTCGAAATTAAATAATGGAATAATGGAAGTCATGTTAAAAGATGACGAATATCAATGTAAACACTCAAAGATAAGATACCTCAGGAACAGGCCACAATTACTGAGTATGAACGGAGACACGCAGGATACTTCACACCAAGCGCGCGTAAGTAACAACAGAATTTATTATTTTGATATTTGTTACTTTTGACGTAGTCCTGAAAGTTCATTTAATTACTTAGTCTCATATAACAAAAACGTGAAATAACATTCAACAAAAAAAAAAAAAAAATATATATATATATCTTTAGCCCTACCCCACGATTTGACCGGCGTTAATTTTATTCACTTGATAATTGCACGATGAAGTGTGTATTATTAACTGAATAACACCAATTTATAACTGAATAAAAGTTTATTGGAAAAAATGAAAAACAAATAATCCACAAAATAAAAAGAAATGATAGAAAGCGTTTTCAGTTTAATAGCAGATACTACCGATGTTTTTAAAATAAACTATGGTACATTTTAAACCAGGGGTCGAATAAACTGTTAATTTAAAGTAAAAACATAACTTTTACCTATATATGTAGATGAATAAAAGTTTTTGTTGACATTTTACTTTTATTGGTACGTATCATTTCAAAACAATTATTTCCTTAACTTCTATTTTCAAACCTCATTAATAAAAGTTTTATATAACAGTTTTTATAAACCATTTACTTGAATACGTTTTAATGAAGAAAATAAAAGGTTAATACGTTTTTATTAACAGAGAATTTAATCATCAATATATGAATAATAGCTATATAAAACATTGTA